TGTAGTCAATAAAAATCACTCTATTAAATTAGAGTTGCCTCATTTCCCTAAATATCACTTCCAAGCACCCTTGTGCATACATGAGCTGCAAGATCCTGCGACCTGGGTCAAGAGGTGCATGTGTAAAGGCCACTAGTAATGAATCCAAAAGGTATAGCCTGAAGAAAGGGTTAATCTCTGTGACAAACAGAGCAGAGGGGAAGGTGTGGAATAGAGAAAAATTATTCTAAACTGCCAAGATGGCCAGTGGGTGGTTGGGGGGGGAAAAAGGACAGAGAAAAAGAGTGCATGTGGATGAGGGGGCTTGTGAGGGCGACAACCCAAAAAAGGATCCCTAGGGAAAAGGATTAGTGTGGTTCTCTGAGTGAGTCTGTAGCCAAGAGGCCAGACTGGAGAATACAAAACATTCACCTCAAGGGAGAGGAGCTATATTATGAACCCTGAGAGGGGAAGGGTCACATAAAAGTGGGAACAACATGATGATGTCTGCGTAATGTTCTCTATTATAAAGTCTGTCATTTATATTAAACTAAAGTATCAATAGAAACTATACTTTCACCTCAATATCTATAAAGTTGTTGTACTCATGAGTTTCCCTCTATTGAAGATCTCTGTCCAGAACTACTCCAAAGAAACACTACCAAAACTCCCCTAGTTAACCAGTGCCTAAAATAAGAAAGGGACAAAGGACCACAAAAATATTGGCAAACGTTACAGCCACAAACCTTTTATTTCCCCTCGCTTCCTCAGCAACAACCCATACTAGAATGTTACATGGAATCCTGACCCTTTAACTAAGAGAATGTTGTAGAAAGGATACTATAGAAAAGGAAACTGAAATTGTTCTTTACCAAAGAAGTCTATGACTGGAGGGTGGGAAAATAGAGAAAAAATATTTACCTTTTTAAAAATCTACAAAAGTATTTTATCAACTGATGTTGGTAGGGACCAGGCACAAGAAATAAAAGTCCGCACTTACAGAACTAACATATGCTGCTCATTGCTATAGAACGTTGTGAGATACAAGTAGCCCTAAACATGAAAGGCTTCCTTTGACAGTTCTTATATTGGGAATATGAATGTCTTCTAATAGAATGGGCATTTGTTCCATTGTTTTGCAAGAATTTTCTGTTAAATATTTTATTGCTGATGTTCTGTGCTCTTGTTAAAACGAGCCAGCATAGCTCACATTCATTTTTAGAAAGAGACACAAGGTTACAAAATAAATCATGTTTTACAACAAAATAGAAACAGCTGTTCTCGCATCATCTGCAAACCAAGCTATTAAAACCCTTTTGATGTCAAATGATATTACAATGTTACTGAAGGATCTTATCGTATGAATAGACAGAATTAAAGTTAATCTGGTTGATTAAAAAGTTCCCTCTGCAACACAGGTTAGTATGCAGCCATTTAGAAATCTAAATAGCTGAAGTGGCTTTCTCTGCCACCATCTATTCTTTATTTGATTATATCATATTTATGGCTGTTTTACAGATACTTTTGTCTCCAAAGAGTCATTGGCCTCAAATCATAAAACTGCTATGTATCTTACTATACAGACTGGATGGCCTCCATCTGTGCTGCTGGTCTTAAAACGTGTCAGGTAATACAGCACTAAAACGCTCAACACATTTCCTAGTCTGAGCCTGTGGACCTACATATGTTTTAATGTTTCAAATCAAAATGGCCTTCACTGTCAAAATCAATGGAAGCTACTATGCATTTGGTGCTTTCTGACCAAGGACAAACAAAATATATATTTAAAAACAAACAAAAAACCTAGAAAGAGCACACATTTACAACCTGTGTACTTGGCTTTTCATTAAGGCTTGTACGATTTTACAGATGGCAGGATGGTATGTAAGCAATTCTCTTGGGTGCAATATGCAAGTCCCAGCTGGAGTGTTTCCAACAGGATATAAACCATGGTCCTCAAGCCTGCACTTTAAAAAACATATTACTTAGCCCAGTGCCAACAAATGTCAATACAAAAAATGCACTTCAAGAACAGGAACAGCTTTCCTACAACCACAGAGGTTACCTGCATCGAAAATAATTGGAAGGTGAAAATTATGGCAATGACGATGGTATCATAAAATGTTTATTTTTCATAAAAATGCATCATTTGCAAATAATTTGGGTCAAGACAAATCGCAAAAGGATTCAAGTAGGTCTAAAAATTTTACACATATACATAATTGCTTTCAGCTATCTGGCAGTGTAGGGCAGACTACTCTAGGAGGTGCTGCTTGAGGTCTTCAACAACTCTGACGTTTCTTCAATCCTAAAAATATTATAGGTTAAACAGGCTAAACAAAAATATTTTCTTATTGAATAATAAAATTAAGTAAGCACCATTTTTTCCAGTACATAGGGAAGACTCGCTAGTTTTAAATGACAACCTGTACATAGTGGAGAGAAGAAACAGTCCAGTTTTCAAGTTTAATCGTAAACGTTTTGTACAGAACACTTTTTAAAAGACTGAATTATTGATGATTACTGTTGAAATAGAATGACACTAGAAGTGGAAAACTGCAACAAGATACAATTACTTCCAAGTAATGGAAATCATCACATTTTTCTTTATGCAAGAGCTAAAAATTTGAACAGAATCATTATCTTCAGCAAACTAGATAACCTAAAACTCTTAAAGTAAATTAGCACTCATCTCAAGAACAGCCACTAAACACACCTATAGTCATCCCACAAACATAGGACTGTATATAGATTTATTATCCAGTAGGAACAATAAATCTTAAGATGCAAGGATCTTTGTGGTTTGGAGAACGTATGTACTTTCTACATACATTTAAACCAAAGCCATTCCCTACAGAGAAATGAATTCATCCTGCTTTTTTCCTTTTACTTACATTTTGTTTATTCGTTCCATTCTTTGTATTGTTGTCTCCTGCAATTTAAAAGCAACAGGTTCCATTCATTCTTCATAGGCCATATATTTCAAAGTTTTGGTACATGCACAAACACAGTGAATTTGTATGCATGGAACTTATTTTAACAGACTTTTCAAGATAAAGTTTTGCTGTTCTCTCCAGCCCTCAAAACAACCAAAGACCAAAAAAAAAATAAAAATCCTACAGATATTCAGACTAGGCATTAGTTTTAACTGACCTTTGAAGCCTTGGATAAATCATGATTATTAACAACCATGGCTTTGGGAGATGGGTCTGAAGATATCAGTGAACTATATCCAGATGAGTGGTGAAGACTCTCTGGCAGTTCCTCCTTCCCTTTATCTGTGAAGAAGCATTCATTTTAAAGATCACCTTTGCCTTTTTGCTCTCACACAACAGGTCAGCCATCACCCAGTTTAATTTACAGAAGATACCAACAACACATATTTATAGGGAACTATTACACAACCACAATGAATTTTTAATTATTACCAATATCCTGTACTATTCTGAAACGACACAAAACAACCTTCTGATCACCACCAATGAAAGCTTTTTGGAAACTGCCACTGGCCAAAATATCATTCCTTGCAGGTCTTTTCTAAGACCTTAGAGTCAATGCTCATTCAGCAAAAACTGGTATAAAACATGAATTGCACCCCAGACATGAGGCATATGCCAAGCCCTTTTTAAATTCCACCATTAGGTAGAGCTTGACAACATTACCTTAAAGCATTTTTAATAAGCAAACAGAAAAGCCTTCCATTAAAAAATGACAGAAATGCCTATAAAGGGCAGAGCAGCTATTTGGGTCAATATTTAAAACACACGCACAAAATTACTTTACAGTAACAAATATTTAATAAATAATAAAGTAATAAACACCAAAGATATTACTTTATTATCTTTGAGCCTGTCACCAGCATATCATAGAATAAATCAACCCCAACTTGCACATGCTATAAAAGACTTTACCAATAGGAAGAAACGTGTAGCTTAACCACCATACAGTTAAAAACAGGCTTTGGAGAAGATGAGTGAAGCTGTAGTGACTTTTTCTGGTTGTGCTGCAAATCTAAGTGGGGTGTAAGAAAGTTGTAAATGTATAGCTTACAGATCTTCAGGTAAGAGGTTGGAGAACTAAGAACTACAATGTTTAAGTTTATTTATTTATTTGATTTTGTTTATACCCCGCCCCGCCAGATGATAAAAAAATAATTTGCTACTGAAGATTTTGACTAGGGTCCTTCCTAAAAAAGGAAATGATAAAATTACCGTAAAGACTCCTTGTCAGCACTGATAAGCTACTTAAAAATAATTTGACCAGCCTTCATTAACATAACTTTGAAAGCCCCTTTTTAAAACTCAGTCTCTAACAAATGGAAAAAAATACTAAAACTAAAGTAAACCCATCCTACATATTAAGTTTTATATTGATAGTAGAGCAATGTTCTTTGTGTGCAACACTGAACACGTACAAAAAAGAACAGATAAAAAATAAAACTGCAGTGACAAACCAATCACTTTTGTTGGTACAAAGATCTACTGCATCTAAACAATCTCAGTTGTTGAAACGGCAGTTTGAGCATTCAGAAGACCCCAAATAATGCCAACACTAAATGAAATACTCACCTGGAGAAACTGGCGTCATATGTATGTTAGAGGTATTTTCTTCATTCATGTTATTAGATTCTGTGGGTAAACTGATCTAAAATTGAAGATATATTTTGCCATTTATAAGTCAGTTTTACAATATAGTAGCTGGCATTCTGGGATTTGCATTGCAAGCTGTTTTACAAAGTTACCAATTTGGAGCAACTCTGCATAGGACCGTACTTACTGTCTTTGAATGAATGGATAATATCCACCCATAACACTCCCTATTACATTACTACTAATATATCCCGCAGCGGACAATGGCTCAGTTCAGCCATCATGTCTGGATCCTCTGACCAAAGATTGGGAGGATCAGGAACAGGCTACAGTCTTACACACAAACCCTTTCTTGTCAATTGCATTCTTCATTTATTTGTTTCTTCTGATATAGTTTGCTATGACGTCTGAACTGGTTGACTATAGTTAGAGCCATTAATAGAGCCTGTGAGCCTGCCAGTACATTTCTGAACCTCTGAAGGATCAACCTGTACTGAACCAATATTTTTACAAATCACATTATACTCGACACCAACCAAATAGTCTGTTCCAAAGCAGTAACTGGTTATTCTCTGTTCATATAAGGTATTTTAATTATGTCACACCATCAGTAATTTATACACTATACCACTGATACTAGTCAAAGTGAAGTTCAGCATTTTAAAGAGTTGCTAGATAATCCAAACCATTCCACAATATTGTACAGTATTTACGTAAATTAGTCAAGAACAGGAAATACATAATAGAGAAAGAAAAATATCTTTGTTAACTTGGACTGAACTTTTAAATATGGTACATGGTACTGTGGCAAGCACTAACATGAAATATTTTTTCCCGTTCAAATGCATTACCAACAAATTTGTACCTTAGTAAATTGTAGCCATAGCAAAAAAAACCATTTCCCACACTTCTCAAAAGTTCATCCTGAGAATACCCATTATTCAAAAATGTAACTTAAAGGGATTGAGAAAACACCTACTCTCTTTTGCAAAAAAAATCATTGTGTTTAGGAATATGAAAAACTAAATATGATCACTCTGCATTGCTTGTGAGACTAATACATACCTATATATCCACTTTAAATCAGAAACAGTGATATAAAAATGTCCCATTAGTATTGTTTTCTGAAAATTGAATAATAAATGTACCTTTTCTGGTTGCAGTAATAGTTGTGTTTCAAGGAGCAAGACGCGGCTCAATAGATTATTCCAGTCTCTCTCATCTATAATCACTTTACCCTGCAGTTTCTCTTCTAAAACTATCAACTTCTCTTCTATCCAATTCAGTTTATTAACTTTTTCCTGCAGTTCAGCAAGTTGGCTTTTTAATTCTTTCATTTGATCATCATTATCTTCTAAGAGCTGCAAATAAGATGGAAGGCAAAAAACAGTTTATGTAACTATGTAGTGTTGCTCAAGAGTAAAGGTTGATTCCCAACTTGGTTTTTATGTTATTCCATTATGAATTAAATTCATTAGTCTTTTCTAGAAATTACTAGATTAAGGACAGCCTTCATTAACTTCATGCAATCCAATGCAGTTTAACGATAGGGAAATTAATGAATATGCCAGTTCAGCCATGGAATCATTTGAGATTCTGGAAAAACATTTTCACTTGTTTCAGTTGCTTATCTGTACAAGAATCATCTATTATCCTTACTAGATAGAATAGAGAAAGGGGAAAAACAGGGGAAAGACTATGCTCACGGGCTTTTCCACAGGCTCGATTTGGTCCTTATTTTCTGGGGAGTCGATCCACAAGCACTGGAATTGGTTTAGGCATGGTTCTTCTGCACATGTGCCTTCCCCATGCATTTTGACAGTAGTGGTTAATTTATTTCTGCACATGGTTTAAATAATCATATTTTTCACAGGAGGGTGCTGTCATTATTAGTGGCATCACAGCAACCCCCTTTTTTTAAGGCCATGATATAGTGGTTAAACTATCATTACTAGCAGGTTCTCTGAATTCCCAGCTTTCATTTTCTAAAAAAGTCTCTATGCCCTTCCCTTGCAAAGATATACCTTTTATCTTATACCTCCATGAGGTAAGAATCTAGAGATTTATTTTTTAACAAAATGAAAACTGGGACTTCAGAGGACCTCCTTAAACTTTCATTACCGCACTACATCTCTATTGATATTTTAGATCCTTAAATAACCCCAGAAACCACTCATCTTTGAGGGGGAGGAGAGGGAGCAGTTTGACAATGACCACAGTCCAATAATTGAAAAGTGAGCTGGATGTGGGTGGGAATGGGCAGGACAAAGAAAACTGTACAAGGAAAAAGATGAGTCAAAATCAGCTTTCATGGAAAGATCAGGGTAAAGGTTTTTTAAAGAACAAAGTGGAAAATAAAACCAGGCAGAAAATGGGTGAAGCAACTTAATGGCCTTACTTGTTCATGTGAATTGTAGGAAATATCAGTTTCTTCATGAAGTACTTCACTGACTACATCCTTTGGGGAACATGTATTACATGTACTCACATGGCGTTCTATTTGAGGTTTCTTTGCATGTAAACAACAAAACAAAATGTCACACAATGTAACAGCGGAAAAGTTTAAGAGCTCATCTAAATAATCACTGAATTTAGTGGGAAAACACCTTTGATGTTAATGGCCATGGAATACACCTGATACAGAAAACCTTTACAATTTGTTTGAAAAGCAAAAATAAAGGTAAAAATATAACATGACAATCAGCCCCAAAGCCTTAATGCCAAGTCAGGCCCTCTCATCTTTTTAAATCTGTGTCATCCCAATTTTGATGGACTCTGAAAACAGTACACCAAAGTACACTAACAGGGCTTGTAATAAGCAGTGCAAGAAACCAAAGAAATGGGGGGGGGGTTTTTTGTATGTGTGTATATACACACACACACAATTAAATAACACAATACCAATTCAAGAATCTTCCCTAGCCAAGCTGCTTGGGGGAGTGGAGGTGAGATTTAGAGCTGTGTATTCCAGATAAAACAAAAATCATGCCACACAAAAATTATGCTGTGGCAGCAATGCTTTTCATTTGGCAACTGCTGTACTAATATCTTGATCCAGTGAGAAAGAATCCATTTGCAGCAAAAAAGTCACTGTGTACAAACTGCACATGTTAAGAGCTCTTGGGGATGTGGTAAAGAAACACTCCTGTCCAAAAGCTTGGAACATGTACACAGAGTGAAATGCCCTTTCAGCAGATCTCTGAATCAAGCTTTAGAGACCTTGTATGACTAGAAAAGCAGCTGCACACTGACAAGTAACTATGAAACAACAGGCTTGCCAAGCTGAATACACTAAGAGCTGCTGATAAGGTAGAAACCACTTTACCATTTGGTAAGCATCTTCCCGACCAATGTACTCAGTAAGACTTCTATCACTGTTAAAAGCACACTGCAGAACTGTAAGAACCTCTGGTCTGATGGTCTGTGTTCCTAGAACTTCTTTAGAGGAGTAACTCTGATATGTTCACTGATAAAGGATTTTCTTAAAAACTAGCCAACATTAAGTTTATCTGCCACAACTAGCTTATGTTACCTTAGATTCAGGGCACTAATTTTATCAATCTGAAAATTTATATTAATGGCCATGTTTCTCTATTAAGCATTTGCTTGAATTCAACCATTTTCTTTAAATATGATTAGTAGAAGCCATTTTTAATTATTTTCATATAACATAAAGTGTATCTGCCTAAGAATCACATTTTTCTGCTGAATGGTAATTCCTCATCTAAAACAATCCTACCTGCTGAAAGTTCATAGCATTGTCACATATAGAACCAAGAAGATGTGAACTGCTTGCTTGTGATTCATGCTTAATAACATGGATGTTCTTTCTTGTTTGGGATTTCACCTATAAAACAACAGAAGCCTCACTGTTGGTGATGCCAGCATTTTCCTGTTTATACAGCACAAAATGTGCTCCAACAGGACATACTGCCAAAGCAGTAAGGTGAAGCAAAGTATTCCTAAGCAAATGCTATGCAGACAAAATAGCCTAGCTAATTGTAGCAAGTGGCCCACGTAAGTAACTTTTCAGGAACTTCAAATTTATTTTCTTTACTTATTATTTGTATTTATAGCCCGCCCATCCCGCAAGCGGGCTCAGGGCGGGTAACATTGTAAAAACAGGACAATGAATACGATTAAAATTAAATAAGTTAGTAATTTAAACAATAATAAACATTAAAACCCAATCACACTTCTGACAGTCACTGGTTGTATGGTTCTTTAGCAAATTATTTGGGTTAACAGATGGATAGGTGGATAGGTGACAACCACCTCAGGGAGGCCATATAGAGACGTCCGCTGCCTCAGCCAAAGGCCTGGCAGAAGAGCTTCGTCTTACTGGCCCTGCGGTATTGAAGAAGATCCCGCAGGGCCCTAATCTCGACTGGGAGCATGTTCCACCAGGCAGGGGCCAGGGCAGAAAAGGCCTTGGCCCTGGTTGAGGTAAGACAGACGTCCTTTGGGCCAGGGACAACCAGATGTTTATCCATGCAGCGTGAGCGTAATGCTCTTCGGGGCATATATGGAAAGAGGCGGTCCCTCCGATATGTGGGTCCCAGGCAGTATAAAGCTTTGAAGGTAATTACCAGCACCTTGAAGCGAATCCAGAAGTCAACTGGCAACCAATACAATTGGCAGAGCACCTGCCGGATGTGAGCCTTCAGAGACGTCGATGTCAGCAGGCACACTGCCACATTTTGCACCAGCTGTAATTTCTGGGTCAGCCTCAAGGGTCAGCCTACACAGAGCCAGTTGCAGTAATCATGCAACTTGCTCTATGTAGTGACCATTGCATGGATCACTGTAGCTAAGTCCTGTGGGGAGAGATATGGTCTCAGCAGCCTTATCTGCCTAAGATGGAAACATGCAGATCTGGCGACTGCAGTAACCTGGGCCTCCACAGAGAGAGAGGCATCCAGTATTACTCCTGAACTCCTCACTTTCTAGGCCGGTACCAAAGGCACCCCCTTCCAGTGCGAGGAGTCTGCTACCCACATCCAAACACCCCCAAACCAGGTACAGGACCTCCGTCTTCGATGGATTAAGCTTCGGCCGGCTCTCCTGCAACCATCCAGCCACAGCCTCCAGAGCCTCAGCCAGAGTGTCAGGGGCAGAAGATGGATGGCCATCCATTAACAGGTAGAGCTGGGTGTCATCCGCATATTGATGGCAACCCAGCCCATAACTCCTGGCTAACTGGGTGAGGGGATGTTAAATAGCATTGGCGAGAGGATCGCCCCTTGCGGCACTCCACATCCAAGTGGGTATCGCGAGAAGACCCTCTCACCAAGTGCCACCCTCTGTCCCCGACCATGGTGAAAGGAGGAGAACCATTGTAAGCCAGTCCCCCGAACTCCTACGTCGGCGAGGCGGTGGGTCAACAGATCATAGTCGACCGTGTTGAAGGCTGCCGTTAGATCTAAGAAAAAAAAGGAGGAACACAGCCGCAACACGACGAGACGGTTGCTCTTGAGAGCACCGGCCACTTCTGGGTTTGTTTAAAGGATCTTCCAATCATTGGAGACCCCCCAATCCCCCGGGGAAGGGGGTATTGGGCAGCTAGAGGCTTGATCCGGTCCCCTGTGCTGTGGCTACTCACGGGGAGAACCAGGGATTGCCTCCAACGCACAATCAGAAGAGGAGCCCATATCTATGGGCGAAGCCGTTGCTTCCTGTGCTGAGGGGGGGATAAGAAACACTGCCAAATAAGCGCTTGGACTTATCATGAGTAAAAAACTTTATTTTGGGGCTTAAAGAGAACAAACTGTCAAAACTACAGCCCTGAAAAGATTAAAAGCTTAGGTGGGAGTTTTCCTCCCTGGCATAAGTGGCCAACGAAAAGAGACAGAGAGAGACAACTTTACTTTCACTTTTCACTACAGGGCAATGCTTTAAGAGAAACTAGTCTAAGTGAGTGATTATTTTACATGTTGATGGCTAACTGCATATACTGATGGTCTGCAGAGACTGTAGAGACTCTTTTTCAATGCTCTCAATTCTTACCCCAACTGGGGCAGGGTTTGGAACATTAGGAAACCCTTTACAAAAAATTTTGGGGGGTCTCAGAAAAATAAAATAAAATAGATTGGGAAAAAAATAATAAAGGAGACTACCACTATAAATGAACTATTAACTGAAAGAGATTCCAGGGAAAAGCTGCAACTTTATTAATGTGGAGCACCAACTAATTGCTTGAAAAATTGCCCCCCCATAGACATTTGGACTTTGAATTAACAACAGGCTGGAGGGGTGTTGTGAGTGATATTGACCTTGAGATGCATATTTGTGGAGATAAACTCTAAACAATCAACTTGGCTATTAAAAACAAGATCTGGGCAGTCAGCCAAAGACTTTTGGTGTTCCAAAACAATTGTTAAGAAAAGAAAATAAGTATTGGAGCTAAAGGGAAATAAAAATTTTGGGCAATTAACCCAATAGATCTACTTAACGTGTCTTCAAGATGGCAGGTCAAGCAACGCAAATTAAAACAATTAAAACACCAGCTCCTTCACCAAGAATTTCTGGCTCTACCACTTCTACATTTTCAGCGCCTGCACAAAAGGGATGCAGGCGTTGGTCCAAGCGACTATTTTAAGTTCAATTAGTGATGCAGTTGAACCAATCAAAATCACAATGGAGGAAATTCTGAATTTCATTACGGAAACAGTAGATCCCATTAAGAACGCGATGAAATAACTGAAAAATTTTCTACAAGTATGCAGGCACTTCAAAAACAAATAACAGACAATACTCAAAAGATTACTGAACTGAATACCACAACAGAAAAAATAGAAGTCAAAACAAAAGAAATGGAGACTAAGATTCGAGACACAGAAGCGAGACAATCTACTTTGAAGCAAGATGTCACGAGACTTCAGGCTGAAAGGGCTGCCTTTGTATTAAGATTCCAAAATGTGCCTGAAGAAAAGAATGAAGACCTTCCTTACAAAATGGCGAAACTATTAGCTGAACATATGAACATGGAAGAAGTGGAGAAGATTACTCAAGAAATTGATGTTGCTTTTAGAATGAATTCAGCATATACAAGGAGATTTCAATTACCAAGAGAGGTCCAAATTCGCTTTCACAAGAGGACAGTCAGAAACAAGATATTGAGAAGTGAATGCATCACCATTCATGATGGCTAAGACAGAAATTAATGTCTTAAAAGAAATTCCTTGGAGAGTCAGAGTCAGAGAGAAGATTTGACAACATTTAGGAATTATGATGACAAATAAATGCAGTGCATTACAAGAAAACAACTTGTAAGAACTGCTGAAGATAACCAAGCAAGATTTAGAAAAATGGAAAAACTTAGATATCTTTAATAGGCCAAATTGCCTTAATTAAAATGAATGTACTTCCAAGATGGACTTTCCTGTTCCAGACAATTCCTATCCTAGAAAATCTTCAAAGATCTGGATCAGTTGGTATCGAAATTTATATGGCAAGGGAAGCACCCCAGAATAAGACTGAAGGCCTTACAAGACTTTAAAGAAAGGGGAGGTTTTGGACTACCCAACTGGACGTTATAGTATAGAGCTGTGGCACTGGCTTGGATTAAAGAATGGGTCATTTTAGATGACCAGAGAATATTAAAGTTGGACGGTCATGATTTGATGCTGGGATAGCATGCGGTTTTATGGTATGGGAAGGCAGGTACGCAAAAGTACTTTAAGCAACATTGGTTTCGAGTATCTTTATTGATACAAAATTGATCACTCCTTTGGAAGCTATTACGCTATCGAATATTTATAAGGAGGAGGAAACCAAGAAGATACCAGGATATCCTGGATTCCAAAGATGAACTGAAACCGTTAAAGGACTTATCGTGGTGGCAAAGAGCCCGAATAGAATCCAGATATGCTAAAGATAAGAAAATAGGCTTTTATGACAACTTATTAGAGATTGAAAAGATCATGACAACTACTGATCAAAAACTTACTAAAAGGATCTACACGCTTCCACTTAATGATATTATGGTGGAGGAAACAGTTAAAGGACATATGATCCAATGGGCTCAGAATATAGGTCATAATATCGACCTGGAACAATGGGATCAAATGTGGAAGAAAAATATAAAAATTACAAAGGCTATAGCTTATAAAGAAAATATGTATAAAATGTTCTATAGGTGGTATATAACACCAGAACGGTTAGCGAAATATGATAACAAATGTTCAAATAAGTGTTGGAAATGTGAAAAGAAGGTGGGTTCGTTTTACCATATGTCGTGGCTGCCGTTAGTTCTAATAAAAACAGCAGCACCGCACCGCCCCGATCCAGCTGCCTACAGAGATCATCTGTACGGGCGACCAGAGCCGTCTCTGTCCTATGGCCAGGGCGGAAGCTGGACTGGAACAGATCAAGGATGGAAGCATCCTCCAGGAAAACTTGGAGTTGTTCGGGTACTGCTCTCTCAACTACCTTACCCAGAAATGGCAAATTTAATACTGGGCAGTAGTTGGCCAGGACCGCAGGGCCCAATGATGGCTTTTTCAAGAGCGGACGAACTACTGCCTTCTTCAGAGACCCTGGGAAAGTCCCAGAGGAGACGGACAAGTTGACAATTTCCCCCAAGGGAACCTGAATGCTCTCCCCACAGGCTTTCACCAGCCAGGAAGGGCAAGGGTCAAGGAGACAGGTAGTAAGCCTCACTGCTGCCAAGATCCTGTCAACTTCCTCCTGGAAGAGCTGGTCAAAGTGGTCCAATATTGAACCTGAAGACAGACAAGGGCTTCCAGTCCCTTTACTGTCTCAATTGCGGTCGGGAGGTCCTGGTGGAGTGTCACGATCTTATCTGTGAAATAGCTTGCAAATGCCTCACAGCCAATACCCAATTCCCTACTATTTGGTCTGCCCTGTGGCAGAATCGTGATTGACCGAATCGTTCTAAATAATTGGGCTGGTCGCGAACTCGCAGACGCAATGGAGGCCGCATAGAAATCCTTCTTAACGGCTTTCACTGCCATTGAACCAAATATAGCATAATGGCTGTATTCAGAAATCCTAAAGAAACTCTGTCAACTGCCAAGTAAAATACACACACACACACACACACACACACACACATATATAGTGTACATTTCACAAAAATGTAACCCATAGTAATGGTCACATGAATTGTTTCCATTTGATACAGTGAAGTGGAAATAACAGAGAAAACGAAAAGTGTTATTGGTTTCTTTTTTGCAGGGGTTATTTATTATGCAGCAACTTTACTGGTATAAGATCAGTTTAGGAGAGTTATCTTTTGCTTTGTGCAACGATAAACACAGCATTTCAGTCAGATTATGATAAGGAAAAAAGCTTAGCCTGCATATTTGGAATTTGTCAAAATATCAGAAGCTTCTACCAGCTAGGACAGGTTTCATTTACAACTGTAAGAATTACATCCTCCAAAATGCACTGTAACATTAAAGAACCGTATTTGTTCCTCTTGAATATAATAATAAAAGATACCTTATTCATGTTACTTAATTCTTTGTGTTTTTTATGGACCAAACTAATAATTTCACAAACAATCTGCATTTTTCTTTCTGCAAAGCCGTACTGGAGAAACTGGTGTTTTGTTAAGACTGGTTTATATTGAAAATGATCCCGGAGAAGCTGTAAAGCACATTGGGGGGGGGGGGAGAATTAGCTTTCATAATCACTACAAATATGTGTCATACTGACATTTTCTTTCTTTTTTATTAATTTTATTATACAATTACAAACAATTTAAAAAGAAAACAAAGTTGCATCAACAGAATACAAAAAATCAAAACAACACATTAGCTAAAAGGGATTACACTGGGGATCATAGCCGATAATGAATATATTGGTTGGTAGTAATCTAACAACCTCAGCATAGGAACATAAAAGTCAACAACTAGGACATAAACAGCCAAGTACTAAAACATTATAATTATGTCAGAAGGTTTTATTGGCATCTGGTGCCACTATTGTAAGCCGCCCTGAGCCCGCTCGCAGGGAGGGCAGGGTATAAATTGAATAAATAAATAAACAAACAATTTTTTTATATTCAACACTGTTAGGAATGATTTCACATGAGGCAAAATATGTCAAGACTGGGAACCAGATCTCTGTAAAATCGGAGATATCTCCCCTTAACATGTTATGTTTGTGACTTTCTGCTATTTTACCCATTATGAATTGGTCCCGTATTTTCTCAAATTATAAAGACATTGATGGAACTTTCTTGGAACGCCACTTTGAGGCTATTGCAATTTGCACTGCTGCTAACAGCAAGCAAACAAGGGACCACTTTGTGGGACTATATGTTCAATTTTTCCAGTGCTGCAATAAAAGGACTTCTGGTTTAAAAGGTAAGTCAATCGAAGTTATATTCTTTATATGGAACACTATTTTTTCCAGTATAATTGAACCTGCCTACAAGACCACCAACAATATACTGACATTTTCAATTCCTGATTACTGTTGTCATCACATGCTGTATTTTGTGGCAATATGTCATATAAATCATTCACTAGAGGCAGGGATAGTGAATAATTTTTTTAAAAATCTACTATACCTCAACGCATGCGTATATATCCATAACAATAATCAGAAACATTCCACTTCTGTCTATTCAATATATCTGATGAACTGCTGTCTACAAAGGTTCATACCAATGAAGAGCATGGCACTAGAATGTTTAAACTGGTGTGCAGTCCTAATGTAGTTTTGAACATTTTTGTTAGGATGAGACACGTAGCAGCATTTCCTTAGTGTACTTGATCTATCTTCCTCTTATGTACTTTTTTATAGATACCTTATAAGTGGCTTCAATAAAGCGCAAATCATTCTTTGCCGTAAGTTCCACATCCAGTTCCACCAGAAGTTCCATTATATGTGTTGAGAAAGATGTGAAGCAGTAGCTGATGATGGGCAAAAATGCAGATGAATCACCTTTTGCTAATCTATTGTGGGGAAAAGATAAGGTAGTAAAGATGCAGAGAATGTTAGACCCTGCCACACCAGTGAAAATGAACATCTATTCATAACTGAAAGACTAGCAGTCTTTAAGAGGCAGCCGGACAAACACATGTCAGGGATGCTCTAGGCTAATCCTGCATTGAGCAGGGGGTTGGACTAGATAGCCTGTATGGCCCCTTCCAACTCTGTGATTCTAGGATTCTACTATATTGCTATTTACTCTCACATTTGAAGGGGGCTTTAAGCCCGCAAAGCACATTCCAATGATCATGTTACCATATCAGTGTGAGACTGCTTAGTATCACTAACTGGTACCTATTTTAATTTAATTTAAAAACCACCGGAAATGGAGGCAGCACTATTTTTAATAAGAGCCTTCCCAAACAAGGACAATTTGTTCCCCAGATTCAGCCACCTTGAACCACAAGGAAAGGTAGGGTATAATGTTTTAATACCTTAATAAATATGAAGCACTCAACATCCTTCACAAACAGCTAATTTTTATCTAGTATACATAAAATGTATATACTTTCTCTGCTAGCTTTGTTGTACATTTCCATAGCTTTTTCATACTGGTCTATTCCATTATAATACCTGCAGACACCTTTCCCATTAAATTCTATGAAGCCAAAGAAAATGTGTATCAAATATAATATGCCAACACTTACCCAGTATAATCCACATCTCTGGAATAGTTTAAAAGTCGAAGTCCTTGTTCTATTCTACGCAAATTTCCTTTAAGGTCTCCCGTTGCCATATTATAATCCTTTCAGATCACAGAGAGTGTTTTAAATGCGGACTAGAATGGAGAAGTGCAATTTAAAATCAAATGCAAGATTTGGCCCAAGCAGTCTCCTGATACATAACAGTTTTAATAAAAGTTTAATGGACAAAACAACTGAAGCCTCATGGTATGAAAAATCCTATCCACTTCCTATATGATAGCAACAATATTGACACATGATATATTTTCTATTAAACAATGTTTAGATGCTTTGTGAAATCTAGAGAGACATCTTGCAAACACCACTTTGGACTCTGGAAAAACTGGCACTTAAAGCACACTCATCTAAGAAAAAGTTTCATTGGTCTCAGTGGGATTTACTTCTGAGACAACTTATACTATAGACAGGGGTCTTGTTGTAGAAAAAGAGCTGCCGGAGCTCATTAGCATAACTCAATAGCATAACTTATTTGCATATGCCACGCCCCCTGACATCACCGGAAGTGACAGAAGGCCACACCCCCTGACATCACCGGAAGTGTGTCAGAAGGCCCGGCTACTTACCCTCCTGCTTCATCCTCATTCCCAAACAGAATGAGGATCGAAGCAGAGGGCGGGGTAAAGAAGGGGGCGGGGCTTCACCACGTGACCGCCCCGCCCCCTAGAGGTTCTCTTCCGGAGCTCCGTACCTGAGAGCTCCCCCCCCGACTAGAGCCCTGACTATAGAGATATATTCAACTGCTAAAAGAGACCTGTGTCACCCCCATAGTGCTAGGGAGACATGTATTTAATAAGTAGGTGACGATGAATGGAAGATGACCCTCCCTAAAATTATACAACATGTTTTGTTAACTGGACAGCCTATAACTTGTACGCTAATATAAAACAACTCCCTCTTGTTTTTGTGTAACATACCTTGGGAAAAACTTAGTCTTACACTGGAGTAAATAGTGTAATGAACTTTCATGTTCTGAAAGATAAGAGTGGTCATATTTTCCTTCCCTGTTCCACCACCATGTAATCCAACTAAATCAGCAACACATCCTGTATTCCTGATTAAGATTTTACAAACACAGCCTTGAAGCCTATCTCTCATCCCAATACATATTTCACTGCTCCCCCCTTATTATTGTACTTAATATCTAATGTTAAGCACTGCCAGATTCAAAATGCACACTGTCCATTGATATTTTGGCTGGATCTAATTTAAGAAGTGTTTTACACTGCTGCTGCATCCAGAATTTTTGTATGGGTCAACAGCAACAAATAAACTTTGAGATGCCTTATGGATGTTCTTTATACGCTCATGGTATAATCTACGTGTCAGCCTTTAAAGTGGCCATAAACTCTTTACTGTTTTGGCTGCAACTGACTACCACAGCTGCCCCTCTGGAATCCACCTCTAGGAGCTGAAACATCCCCCCCCCAAAAAAAAAAATCCTGCACACGTTGAAAGCTTGCATACTTTTATTTTAACTGCATACTTTTTCTTTAAAAAAGCATCACACGGCTTTTGTGTTTGGAGTTTGCTCTAGACTCCCTGGAACCTCTGCCATTATTCCATTAGTATCATCTCCACAACATCTTACCCTGGATATGCCTGAAGCAACCGCCTTTTCCTGGGGCTGAAACTTCTCCGATTTGTATGAACCTCCGTTCAGCCACCACGGCAACGCCAGAAATTACGCAAAGTTCCTAACAGCAGGTTTACTTGTGTCCGCCAAGACAGCCCCGTCTCCTCAAGGTGGGCTTTCCACGCTACGCAGACCTGTCTCTAGCCCCGCCCCTCCGCCCCTCCCCCCTGCGGGTGGCTTCGGTTTTTGCCCTCTCTCCTATTTGGCGGCTGTTTGAGCCCTCCCGCGGGAATCCCAGCAGTCTTTCGCTTCAAATGAACAGATTCTTCAGCTTTTTGATCCCTCTTCTCCCCACCCCGCAAACGCAACCCTTTAGCCTCAGCTCTCACAACAACATCCTATTTTCCCTCACACGCCCGAAAGGAGCACTTCAGTACTATGAAGCTTGCCCTACTTGGTACCGAATCTGCTGATGAAGCGGGTTCCACGAGTAGGAGGACCCTAAACGTCACTTCCGGTAACAATATTTGTGCCTACGGGTGCAGCGGTGACAACAAACGTCAAAACTTCACGAGTCCGCGCGTGGAAGAGGTGACGACTGATGTTTTTGCGTAGGGACCCGGAAGCCGACCGTCTCCACCAGCTATATGAAGCTGCTTGACCCACTTCTCATCCGCTGAGGATCGCGCACCAATTTGAACACGACTCGTCGCGGCGGCGGTCGGGACCGGAGCTAGTGTAGGTAACGAGTGGGACACCCTAACTTTCTGGTCTGAGTGGAAGTAAGAGGCAGGGGTTCTGACCAATCGTGGTCCTCGGGTGGCGGGCGGCGGGGGGGTGTTCTTATTTGGAGCCAATTGTGAGGGGAGGGAGCGACTCCGCTGTTTTCTCATCCTAGTGCAGTTGGGAACACCTTTAAGGGGGCTTGTCGGCTGAGGGAGTGGTTCGTTGTTCCTGGCCAGTTTTCGCTCCTGTAATGAGAGAGTCACGTTCTTAACTCTGAGGCAAAACAAGGGGTTTCCCGTGCTCAAGTATAGAACGAGGAGTCTGTTTGTCTCGTTTGTGGGGCATGCAGTTGGGAAGAGGGAACACGTTCGTTAGTTAGGCCACACTATGCTTATCCGCTGACATCTGGAGCTTTTAAATGTTGCGTGCTATTTACCTCGTCTGTGTTGCTCAGCATTGTCTGCTCTGACTGCCAGGTAGCCGGAGGTATTTCACAGCACCTGAGATGCCTTTGTTGGAATGGAGATAGTTGAAACCTTCTAAATAAAAATGGGTAGCGGTCTTAGTCTGTAGCAGCAGAAAAGAGTAGCCCCTTAAAGACTAACAAAATATGTGATAGGATATGAGCTTTACTGAGTCACTGCTCACTTCTTCAGATATTCAGGCATCTGAAGAAGTGAGCAGTGACTCACAAAAGCTCATACACTTCTAAATAAAAACGTGTGTGTAACCATCCCTGCCACTGAATGGGTTTGCCTTCAACATAATGCTCTTCCTCCTTTCCTTAGTACTCTAATCTGGGAGAACCAGGTTTGATTCTCCACTCCTCCACTTGCAGCTGCTGGATGACCCTGGGCAAGCCATAGTTCTGCCACAGCTGTTCTTGAAAAAGAGTAGTTTCTTTCTCAGCTCTCCCAGCCCCACCTACCTCACAGGGTGTCTTGTGGGGAGGGGAAGGGAAAGGAGTTTGTAAGCTGCTCTGAGAAATTTTGTTTTATTTTGAGACAGCTTTTTTAAATGACAGAACCTCAGCCTTTCCAGAGTGTTTCTAAAGGTGAAGATGGAAGATCACATCCATTTGCTTTAAAGCAGCTACATAAGTTGACTGCAACTTGGTGGCCCCTTCTACCACCACCACAGGGTTTCTTATTCACAATCACTAATTACTGTTAGACTTTCATAATTGTGCCCATCATGAAGCTGTATGCAAGTCACTTTGCTGTACCTTGGCATGATTTGCATCAATCAGGAACAGACTGGATAATTATGTCATACTGCTGTGAGACATTTCTGCTTTAAGAATCGTTTTAAAAAGTGCATGGGTAACAAGAAAGCAAATATTCCACATGCAATAGAATTACATCCTAGATGTTTAACTCAGGCCCCGGTCACACGGCAAAGTTGCCGTGGGAGAGACATGGATGGTGGGCGGATTATCCGGGCGCGATCACACCCCAACATCTGGGAAGTGGAGCGCACCCATGGCTAGCAGTTCGAAAGCAAGAAATTGCAAGTAGATAAATAGGTACCACTTCAGTGGGAAGGTAACAGCGTTCCGTGCCCCTTGGTGTTTAGTCATGCCGGCCACATGACCACGGAAATGTCTTCGGACAGCGCTGGCTCTTCGGCTTTGAAACGGAGATGAGCACCGCAACCCTAGAGTCGGATTCGCCTGGCTTTCGAGCAAGGGAACCTCTACCTTTACCTTTTTACCTCCATGGTACTAGTAAATGTTTGCCACGGGCTGCCTCCAGACGCCCGTGGTGTGATCGCGCCGGTGCACGGCATTCCCCTCTGGTCCCTCGTTTACCCGCCGGCGCCGAGGGAAGGACCGGTGGTGTGCCACCAGCGCGTCTGATCACGTAATCACAGATCAAACTGCGCCGGGGCAATTAGCCACGCCCCCCCCCCCCCCTCGATATCCGGCCCGTGTGACCAGGGCCTACATGGAACAATAACATAACCAACACATTTTTAATCTGGGTTATATGCCTCCTTCTCCTGGTAGTTTTCAAGCTTTGATGAAGTGAACCCCACTTTTAAGCTTACTATATTATTTGGTACACATTGGTCTTGCACCTCAGGCCATTGATTTAAGCTATGCTGTCACCTTCCACACCACTGGTGGATGGGAGCAAACTAAGCCACTGTGAGTGAGTGAGGCCACAGTGTGCAGGAGGGGAGAAGAAGGGAATGTGGCAGCTTCACCCTCCTTTCCCCACTAGGGCTGCCAAGTGGGGGCGGGTGGCGGGTAAACCCCCGCTTTGGAGGCCCGATTTCCGCTGCCGCGGAATCAGGCCCCGAGGGGAACTCCGCCCCCCCCAAAGCGCAGCGTGGTTGCGTCACTGAAGGTGACGCAACCACGTCGCTCATGTTGGGGGCGTGGCCCCGATCGTTGGAGGGAAACCCCTCCGATGATCAGGGCCACGCCCCCAACGTGAGCGGCGTAGCGTGTCACTTGGCGGCTCCCCCGCCACCAAGGTAAGTAGACTTGGCAACCCTATTCCCCACTGCTATGAGGAGGGGGGTCTAGAGTTTCCTTCTGCAGTTCAGGAGTTTGAGCGTTGCGACCCACATGCAAGAGAGTTTTCAGTCACAAAGTTTGAGAACCACTGCTCCATTTCTTTAGATTTGTGGATGAGTCTCTGGACTTCTGTGGCTGTGTTTCCCAGTATATGTTGGTGGACCTCTGAGAAGTGCCCATGTCTCGGTGGTGTTTCTGAGGGCCTAGCTTCAATCCCTGGTATGTCTAGTTAAATAATTTCATATATCAGGGCTGAAACATATCTTTTCTGAGTACCTGGAGAGCTACTACCAGTCAAAGTAGTCTGGCAATGCTCATGATTCTGTCTTCCTATCTAGAACCTTACTTATCAATAGAGGCCTGCTTTCCCATTTCTGAGTGGCTACTGCTTCAGTGTATGGCATGGTTGTTTTTTATCATAGGGACTAGTGTCTGTGGAATGCGTGGGCTGCTTGTTCTGTTGGTCTGTGCACTGACTAATACTATGTTGAGTTGACACAAAGCTTTCTCTGTACAGCACGTCTCTTTCACAAGGTAGGTTTTGAATCCCGGTCCTTTGGGAATAGAATTGTATTGAACAATGCCAATCTTGTGTCCCTTCTCTTATATCCTTTTACTGTCCACTTTTGTGCCTTGTGTGGTATAGTTGATGTCTTATATCTGTTGTGTAAGCACACTGTTAGAGTGGTAAAGATACTCCTGTGTAGGGTGGTGGCAAATATACATGGGCACATATGCACATGGGTACAAGCAATATTCCTATCCAGTTTAAATGGGACTTTGGGTGGTGGATCAGATCTGGCTCTCAGTGTATTTCATATTGTTGATGTGCAGCCTGATCCTTGCAAAAGTTGGGCATGTCAGTGCTTAATATCTGACTGTTATTGTTTATCCATGTTTTTATAGAATACAGTGGCTGTGGTAGGTGTTATTGTTCAAAGGTTTCATTTCCCCCACCCCCGCTACTGAATAGACTTGGTCACTTGTTTATGTGAAGCTCTTCAAGATGTGCATTCAGTTTACTTAGCCTTTCCAGAGTGCCATACAGAAATGTTAAGTTATGATATAATTAATCAGTTCAGTTAAAGCAATTTAAATTAACAAATAAATACATTTTTAAATCTGTAGTTGGACAGACTGGCAGCATAAAAAATTGCACATTCCTATAATTGCCAGAATTTCTTTAGTGACTAGTATCATAATCTTACAATGGCAGTATTAGTCTAGTATCAAGAATCATGATTAGTCCTTCAAGTGAGCAGTATTGTGTGTTCTCGTGTTTCATTATAACAACAAAACCCAAGTCATATGAATGCAAATATGGTTTCATGTAAGCTTTGTTGACTCATCCATCTAGGTGCAGGTGGAGTCTGAAATATGAAGTTCTTCTGTTTTCCCCACAGAAACAGTGCATCTACAGTGTTACTAAGAAGGATTATACACAATAATCTTTTTCTCTTAGTGCAGAGAAAAAGATTATTGTGTATGTTGTTGATATGTAGAGAGGTGGATGAAGGAGGTTTTCTGGTCAAACTCTGATACATCTACAGATTTCTTCTGCCAGATGATGTTTATAATCAGAAATGTAGTGTTATTTGAGATGTTCTAGTGAAACTTCTATTTTATGATTATTGAAGAGAGAAAAATCCTTGAACAATATCAATAGCCTTTAATTTAAAGCTTCATTGGTCATGGCAATCATTTTTTAAAGATACTTCATTGTCCCTTTTACAGTCTAAGCCTATGCATATTCAGTTGAGCTGTCTTCCAGCTAAGGGCGCATAGGTATGTGACCATATACTTTAAGTTTCTGTTATGAAAAGGGATGCTGATATTGCTATTGTCAGATGTAGCGACCCATTAGATAGTTTGGTAACTGATCCCCAGGTCTAGGTCCCCAAAACATCAACCTCTTTAGATGTT